CAGTTAATTCGGGCCATGGACGCGATTGTTTTAGTTCGAATTACCAGTGGTCCGGTAAAACCGATTGGACTGTACCTCGCCATACAGGGAGTGATGGTAATATAGCTATATTATATCGGAGACAGTTTAATAAAAGTAAATAACAAGTCGCCTAGACCGTTAAGATGTGTTAAGTCACTTGTACGGTTACACATTTATTGGCTAGTTTGTATAAATGACGGGGAAACCTATAGCTCAACTCAGTAGGATCTTTTGATGGGCGGAGTTTTTGAGATCAATTTACCTCTTTTGAAATAAAAAAAAAAGTTGCGTTCTACAAATTAACATGTGGGTATTGCCATCTTCGAATAAATGTTGCCAATTGCAGTCGCCCGACTTGGTAGCATCTACTAATTGCTTGTTGCTGTATCAGTCTCTCATTGGCTGGCAGATAAACAGTTTCTCGTCCGTGCCGAAACATTATATTGAAGGAGATATTTTTTGTTCAGAATATCAGCCGAAATGTAAAGTGAAGCGAATAAAGAAGTATTACCATCATCTACGATCGCTAAATCGTGTTTCTTAAATCTTTACGAAATCTAGAACATTCCATCCTTTTGCCCAAGATGAACCATTTTCCCCTTTATGTTTGTTCCAACGTGTCTAAAGGCTATGCTACGAAAGTAATTGCATGAAACCAAATGAAAAACAGGAATGTGATTGTGATCCAATTGCATCTTGGCTGCTGGAGAGTTCCGATGATGATTTCTATGAAATCGTAGATGGCTATCGTGTGGAGTTCAATCTTCAAAAGCCGGCCGCACTCAAGGCATAGAGTTATGTCTGTTACACAATAGCCCTCTAGTTTGCTCAGCATTTTTGTTCTGCTAATAGCTGATCTTCTTGCCTCGTAATTACCGATATATACGAGAAGCGATCAAGGGCTATCATTTCCTAGTCGTGGATGTCAAATTCACATGCTTTGAGGGTGTCTTTTTAATCGCATTTGTTATTTCCCTTGCCTTGTGTGCAGTTAGAGCACACAGCTCCAAATAAAGTCGGGGGAAAAAATGTACTTCTGCCCTGACTGAAGCCACATTGACTTTTCGGAAGTAGGTCATCATCTAGATGATGTAATCTATTGAGTGGAAACCTAGCCAGAAGTTTGACATCCATTGAGAGGAGGGATATGTTACGATGGTTATTTCATTGCTTTTTCCCTTCCTCTTGTGCAGATGAATGATTGAGGGAACTTTGTGGTAGTAATTGCCTTGAAGCAGTTTGTTTCCATCAGCACTGAGTATGAGAGATTAGCCATTGTCTGGAAGCAGTTTGTTTCCATCAGCACTGAGTATGAGAGATAAGATTTATCTAGAAGCAGTTTGTTTCCATCAGCACTGAGTATGAGAGATTAGCCATTGTCTGGAAGCAGCTTGTTTCCATCAGCACTGAGTATGAGAGATTAGCCATTGTCTGGAAGCAGCTTGTTTCCATCAGCACTTAGTATGAGAGATTAGCCATTGTCTGGAAGCAGTTTGTTTCCATCAGCATTGAGTATGAGAGATTAGCCATTGTCTGGAAGCAGTTTGTTTCCATCAGCACTGAGTATGAGAGATTAGCCATTGTCTGGAAGCAGTTTGTTTCCATCAGCATTGAGTATGAGAGATTAGCCATTGTCTGGAAGCAGCTTGTTTCCATCAGCACTGAGTATGAGAGATTAGCCATTGTCTGGAAGCAGTTTGTTTCCATCAGCACTGAGTATGAGAGATTAGCCATTGCCTGGAAGCAGTTTGTTTCCATCAGCACTGAGTATGAGAGATTAGCCATTGTCTGGAAGCAGTTTGTTTCCATCAGCACTGAGTATGAGAGATTAGCCATTGTCTGGAAGCAGTTTGTTTCCATCAGCATTGAATATGAGAGATTAGCCATTGTCTGGAAGCAGTTTGTTTCCATCAGCACTGAGTATGAGAGATTAGCCATTGCCTTGAAGCAGTTTGTTTCCATCAGCACTGAGTATGAGAGATTAGCCATTGTCTGGAAGCAGTTTGTTTCCATCAGCACTGTGTATGAGAGATCAGCTATTGTCTTGTCAACCAGACACACTTTTAATGGACTGAAGGAATATTTTTGACTTACATGCTGGATGACAGCTGAATCCAGCTGCAGCTATGAGCCTTGTAGCAGTGTGGGGCGTGTAGAGCACACTGATAATTCATTGTACTCTTTGAACTAGATGACCAAAGTTTTAAACTCTACCCACTAAGCTCCAAGAGACTATGTGTTCCAAAAGCAACATTATTTCTTACCTGTTTAGATTAGTTTGCTTTTTTAGTTATCTTTTTATGTCTGTTATGTTCTAAAGGCATCTAGAGTCAAAATTATGCTTTTTTAGTAGCATTTGGTCAAAGTATTAATAATCGTTATTATATTTGTATAAATCTACTTCTAATGACTAGAGAGGGTTTGTCCCAGACAAAGAACACTAGCCATGAGTAACCCAGCTAGTAGTAATATAGATAGATGTTTGAAATAGAATGTTTTTGGTTTGATCAGTCAACTTCAAGTGATAATCTACCCAGTATTGTTGTTGTTTTTTTTTATTTTACAGGATACTATGTTTAACTTTTTACAAAAGGATACATTTAATATTGTTAGGGTTAGAGAAATTTATCTTTCAATGAAATAATCAATGAACGGAGTGGGAGGATCTAAATCTAAAAAAAAATTACATATGCGCATGTTTATATTGTTTATATTGTCTGTGATATATATCATTTGATTTATTTTATTTGATGTTCAAATTTTAACCAATAATTGATTATTTTCATTGCTCCATTGATATCTATAGAGACATAATGGACAGAGAAGAACAAAGAGACACAAAAATGCATTGTACATTTAATATCCTAGTAAGTATTTTACTCAGGTGACTGACATAATAATATTGTAAATAATGGAGATAACTAACTTAATTTTTACTGTGATAATTTCAAGAGCTTTGTAAATGTGCAAAGATGTCTACATCTTCACATTTTCAATTTCTGATGCAACAACATAGTAATGAAAAAAATAATCTGGATAGTCTTCATTAAAAAATATATTTGCTTTTGATATATGAAATGAGATTAAAGTTATCAAATATGATCCTTATAAATGCTAATCTTATAAAACCAATCATTGTCCATTTGTATTGCAGTTTAAGGCGGTATATGTGTTGGTGGTAGAGGAGCCAGCCATTTTTTGTTTGGCACACTTTTTTCCAGAGCTGAGGCCAATACGTTTTTGCTGTCCATAACTTTCTTTGTGTCTTTCTCTCTCCACATAGTGCCGTCTAGTGCTATGTCTTCCCAGTAGTCAACATCAATGTTCACTGCTAAAATAAGCCTTGCTTTATGCAGTGAATAATAAGAATATGGCATAAACCATGTTGTACATATGTCAATGATAAAAACAAAGAGGCCAATTTTGAAACAAATTACAAAAATGATTACTCTCAAAGATTTCTCATTATGTTTCCATAAATCCATTTCCATAAATATTGGCACAATATAATGATTTATTGAGCTACTTTCAAACTCATTGTTTTATGTGATATTGTATTGTCCACTGTTGTTATCATATGGAATAAGCCAGTTGCTTATGGAATTACTCATTGTATATATATATATATAAGAGATGCCTCTTATCTTAATGTAGTTGGAAACTTGACCAGAAATCATTCTTTTTGTTTTTTGAAAATTGTCTAAGATTTTCTCTAATCCTAGAGTCATACAAAGTTTGTATCACATTTCACTTTTGGTTTTTACTTAAAGTTTTTGCTTGGTTACCTATATGTGATAGATGCAACCATGTGGTTGTCATATGCAGATGTTTCACCTCCTACAGCTTAAAAAGTGCAATCTGGACTCTAAGCTCTAAAGTCACAAAAACTGTATTATTTAAACTTGCCATTACAAGAGTGCTCATGACTTAATTGTAGTCTTTTTCATTCTCCAATTTTGTAATTGAAATTTCCTCTGAGACTTACTTAGACTTAGGTCCTCCTGCGCCGTTCGGCGCATTGGGCAGCAAGCTGTCTTCATAAAGATCTGTCGTTGGCAATGTCTGAAGCCTCCTCCCACCTGGTGTCCACTGTTCTGAGGTCCTTCATGAAGGTGTGCGCCAAGTAATACGAGGACGCCCCTGTTTGCACTTTCCTCGTATGGGCCTCCATGTCATCGCAACTCTTGGTATACATAGTTCATTCTGTCGGAGAACATGTCCTGCAAACCTCATGCGACACTCTGTCACAACCTCACTAAGTGTTCGACTCCCAGTTCGGCAAAGGATTTCCTTGTTTGAGACCCGATCTGTGTAACTGACTCCCAATATACGTCTCAGCCATTTTTGTTGAGCCACATTTAGCCTTTTCTCAATTTTGACAGATGACTTCCATGTCTCACATGCATATGTTGCAGTTGGGATGGCAATTGTGTTAAGAAGGTGTATTTTTGTCTTAAGCCCAATGGCATGGCTTGTCCAAATAGGCTGCAGCCTTTGGAAAATGCTCCTGGCCTTTGCTATTCCTCTAAGAGCTTGGAGGTTTTTTTGTTTTTTATTTTGCTTGGGCATGTGTGTTATGTTTATCACTTTTATAATTTCCGGAGTTCATCTAAGTTCTCAATTGAAATTGTCATATCTAAATCTAATTTCATTGTTTTTTTTTCTCCAGAATCTTATATTTATATGACTTTCATTTCATTACAGTTGAATTCCTTAAAATTCAACTTAAAATATGTGTCTCCCTTATCCATGTGTCTTTTTTAAGAAATGTCTTTTTTTTTTTAGTGTAGTGTCACAAGCTACACATTCAGCTCACCTTCCTTATCCTTATTTGCTTTAGGCTGATGGGTCCTGTGATGCATATCTAGTAACACACATTTATGGAAAGCTGATAAGTCCTGTGAGACATCTAGTAGCATACTTTGAAGATGTCTTTGACTAACTGCAGTTAAACACTTTCTATTTCAAAAATGCATGCCTCACATTGTACTTTGTCTTGTAGAGGAGCTCTTTTGTAGCAGAAGTGCACACTTAGTTACCAAATTCATTCCCTTGGACAAATGAAATCAGCTTATTATAACTTCTTTTTTTTAGCTATTTTTGGAAAATGTTTTGTGACTGTAGATACCTTGACTTTTAAAAACATTTGATCTATTTCAGAACTTTTACAAAGGAAATCGCATAGATATGTATATTCGTTACATTTTGAGACTCTTTGATCTGCACTACAGCGCCAACAACTTTGTTGAAGCAGGTCTTACTTTAAAACTCTATGCCAAACTGTTGACATGGTCTACGGACCCACTTCCTCCTGAGATGTCTTACCCTAGTGCCACAGAAGCTGAAAGAAAAGAAGAGCTTTATACAAAGATTATAGCTTGCTTTGATAGGGGCAAGGTTAGCACTATGGTGTTCAATAGAACAATACAATTATTAATCTATGTGATAATAGTTGTAGGCTTAGCATTTTGTCTTTATTTTACCCATACTGCTGTTGTATTATTACATTACAGTTTTAAATAAGTATCTGATGCATGACAGAGGCAAAATTTGTAATAATTCAAAATAACAATCTGGCTCAACAATAATGGTCTATTCTATTGTTAGTTTAATTTCAAACTATTTCGTAAAAAAATGTGTCTGTTTTCTTGGTAAATGTTTTCTTTTTCAAATCATATTTATATTCAAAATCTTAATAATAATTTTGTCCATTTGTATATACATTTTTTTTAAAAATTAAAAACTACTTGGGAATTAAAATGATTGGATCACTTTTTTTTTTTTTTTTTTTACATCTTTACTTTAATACAAAAAGAGGCCACAAATAAAAGAAAAATCTTTTATCATTATGTGATGATGCCATTATGATAGAAATACCATGAATTGTACTCAGTTAATAAAATAGTTTAATTTATGCATTTTCTTTCTCAATTTTTAATAATTTTAATTAGATATCTGTTCATTTCTGGCTAGGCTTGGGAGTATGGTTTACCTCTTTGTAAAGAGTTGACAGAATATTATGAAACAAGCTTTCAATATAACAAGTTAGCTGATATTTTGGTGAGGTTTCTATTTTTATATAGATATTAAGACTACTTTGTTCTGTTTTTTTTTTAATAATCAGATATGAGTGGTAAGTTTATCTATACATGTATTAGCATAGGAGTTTTCACTTTTTTTATGTTTATCCAAGTAACCTTTTTATTTAAAAATCTTTTCCAGAAAAAACAAGCCACATTTTACCAAAACATTCTTGGAGGCAATCAGCTACGGCAAGATCCAATCTATTACAGAGTGGCTTACTATGGCAACACTTTCCCTCTTTATTTAAAAGTAGGTTGAAGATCAGAGAAAAAACACTGAACAACTATCTGTAACAAAAAAAAAACAAAAGAACTTATAGTGCTAAGTATCTGTTTCTAGCAATTTTAAGTAATGATTATTGTTTCAAGTAAATCATATTGAAATAGTTCAGTGCTTTCAAGGCATCGCTTTTATCTTGTGCTTGATCTGCATTTATCTGTGTTTTGATTTTTCATTGCTCAATATTTTAAATTATTTTCAGAACAAAGCTTTTATCTATCGAGGTGATGAATGCTTAAGACTAGCAACTATCATGAATCAATTGACCACTGAGTATCCACTGGCTCAAATACTGACCAGTAATTCACCAGTGGATGAGAGCTGCAAGACAGGTGATGGGCAATGTAAGTTTTGAAAGCTGTGAAACTTTTGAGTTCATTTGTAGACATTTTCCACCTCACAATCTTTGTATGAACATTGATTTTTTATGTTTATTGATACTTAATATGAAAAAAAAGTTGATATATCTCCAAGGTTTTCTTTTCTTGTTTGTTTTTGTTTTTTTTTTACTATAAAAATTCCAATCAATGTTCTGCATATTCTGGATTAATTTTAAAAAAAAGTGAATCAGATGTTTTGTAAAGTTACAATTTGTTATTACATTTGCACAGGTGTAGGTAGTTGTTCTGAAATATTTATATTTTTATTGATCATTTGCTAAAGAATAATTTTAAGTAGATTTATTGATATCAACCATTAATTTTAGTTCTTCATTGGTTTCTCTTTTTTATTTCAGACATTCAGCTAGTCAGTGTTAAACCTGTACCTGTTCAAAGGTTAGAATTTATCAACAAGGAAGTGCCAACTGAAATATCTTCATTCTATAACAGCAATGAAGTGGACACTTTCCAGTTTGATCGACCTTACCACAGGGATGATAAAGACAAGAATAATGAATTCAAGGTAAGAAGATTCATTGAATACAGAGTTTTATACACTCTCTTTCAGTTTTTTTTTTAGCTGCCATTGTTAAAATCTGCCTTTATGTTTTGGCTATCTGTCTATCTGTCATGTTTAAATCTCAAAAGTTATTATCAGACTCAAAAACATCCTTTAGACTTTTAAAAGCCTACTGCACTATTTTGAAATAGATTTTGTAAAACAAAATGTATATTGCACTTCATGGTTGGTCTTATCTTGTATACATGGAGTGCTGTTGTCAATCTGATTGTACTTATACTCAGATTTAAAATCTATACATAGACCAAACAGCTAACCCTAAAACTGTGTCCTTATTTTTTTAACAGTTTGTGTACACATATTGTTGCAATCTTTGGAAAGAATGACATAGCCTTCTCTCTAGTCCTACCAGATTTTGGGAAATAAAATAGAGATTAATAGTAGGAATGAAGAACTGACTTGCTCATATCACTTTTCTTTTTTATACTGTCCTACTTAGTCTTAAAATATTACAATTCTTTTGTTTATCCTTTTAGCAGTTTTTGTTTTATAAATTTCTGATGAAATTTTCACATTAAGCTTAATGCCCTTGTTGTCTGTGCATATGTTTGAGTCAGTCAAAATAATAAGGGTCAGCATTAGTGTGGATTCAGGACTATCTCAATTTGAAATTATAATTTTTATACTATAATGAGTAATTTAGATAAAGTGTAATCAGATATTTTAAGGCCTCAGTGATTATGTTTAGTATGATTATTGATATCATCTCATTATTTTGTGTCGTTACAAAAAAGCTAATATCTAGTCATTTTGAATCACAGGGTTTATGACTATTAAAATGATTGAGGGCTCAGTTAACATATTATATCTAGTAAAGCAAAATTATTTGATTATTCACAGAGTCTGTGTCTTGAGAGAACTGTCATGAAGAGTTCATATCCTTTGCCAGGAATTCTTCGCTGGTATGAAGTTGTTAAAACTGAGACACTTCATTTCTGCCCAGTTCAAACAGCATACATGACAGTACAACAGATGAATGAAGAGCTAAGGGTCAGTTCCGATAATGCGGCCAATTGTCCTGAGCAATATTTGAGTCACCTGTCAATGAGGCTTCAAGGAGTTATAAGTGGGGCAGTCAATGGTGGAATACCTAAGTACCAGGAGGTTAGAAAATGTTTGCACAATTGGAATAGATGATGATTCAAAACATATATGGGTGAAAAATCCATATATGATTATGTGCATTTTAATTTATTGCATTCAACTAACAAATTACATTATTTTAGCTTTTTAAGTTTTCTTAATTTTTTAAACTTTAAATGGGGGAATGCTTAGATCTTTTAGAACTCTGATTTGAGGAAGACTGTTAAAAAAGAAAATCTTTTGTTAGATACATAGACTATTGAATACAACATTGAATATTGAGTTCTATAACATTAACTTTTGAACATATTGACATGACTGAACAGCATTTAAAAATCAAACAACCTTACCTATGTAGTAAAAGTTTCCATTGACTTCATTCTCCAGGCCTTTTTTAACCAAGACTACCAATTGAAATATCCAAATGAGAGTGAACATATTGAAAAACTCAAACTAGTGATTCATGAGCAGGTAACTTTGTTTCACTATTATTTTTTTTTAATATCACAATGTTAGGAGTGTAACTCTAATAAAAAAATATAAATATGTTGAAAAACATATTAATAATAGCAATAAACATTTCCAATTTCAATCAAATAAAATAAATTACTTTACAACCCTACTAAGTGCTCCAGGACAATAATGTTGAAAAAATGTTTTACAAGACACATTTCTTGTAAACAGATTCAATTGCTAGAAAGAGGTTTGTCTATTCAAGGCAAATATGCAAGTCAAGAAATGTTACCATTGCATCATAGTTTAGAGGATATGTTTTCGAAGATGAAAATGTCAATGGGATATCAGGTCAGTGTCTTTTTTGTTTTAATGCATGATTAAAAAAAAAACAACACTTTATTAGCAAAATTTCAGTTCCTGTGCAACGCATACAAAATTTAAAAAATAACATTTCATGATCACAGGTGGCTATCACTTTTAAAATGGTGAAAGTTACTACAAACTAGAATAAAAAAATCCTCAATTGATTTTTATTCAATTTGATAACATTTTTAAAAAGTCTTTAAAATGATGTCTGTCTTTAAGTGTATTTAATTTAATCTCAAGGCCTTCGTGCTTTAAATGTATTTATTAGTATCTCAAGGCCTTTGTCATTAATTGTATTTAATTTATTAGTATCTCAAGGCCTTTGTGTCTTTAAGTGTACCGGTATTTATTAGTATCTCAAGGCCTTTGTCTTAAAGTGAATTTAATTTATTTGTATCTCAAGGCCTTTGTGTCTTTAAGTGTATTTATTAGTATCTAAGGCCAACATCTCTAAACTCAAATAGCACAAGAGTTGAATACACACAATAAACCTTCCATTAATGAGGATCATTAAAATTATTATCTTTTCTTTTGTTAGGTAATACTAAAAATAATACAAGAATAAAAACACTTTTCTTAGTCCATATGAAGAAGCATTCAAATATTCTCTTTGAGAATAAGAAATGGTTTGCTTTAGTCACTCAGGAAAAACTAATGACTTATTTAAAGTTTAAATCTTAAAATTATCATGAAGAATCAAATTGAACATAGAAGGTCTGAATTTGTACGTTGAAACGTTTATTTTTTAAAGTATTTTTAAGTTTGCTTAAAATATTGCTTTGTAGAGTGCCTAGTTTTGGTGCTGACTGGCTGTACTGTACTGGTCTATTGGATTTCTTGATTTTATTAGATCTTATGGTGGCCATATAACCCTGTTTTGTTCGTTTGATTGTATGCATGAAAGTAGAAAAAGGAGACAGCATACACTTAACATCTACTTGTGGTTAATGTAAAACTCTAATTTTTCAGACTCCTTCTAAACACAGAGGCAGTACTTTATCTGTTTTATCAAATGGATCATCACAAAGACCTACCACACCAAGTACAGGATCACTTAACTCTAGTAACAGGTCAGTACACTTTCATTTGACACAAGTCTGAACTAAATTTCTAAATCTGGCCACTCTTCTTAACCAGTATCTCCTGAGAAAATGGGTTATGCTCATAGAATAATTAAAGGAAGAATGGTCTTTTTTTCTTCAAAACTTTCTTTTAGACTAAAGAAAGGCCTGTCATGTGAAAAGGCAGAGAGTAAAGGTTCCCCTTTCAGACCTGCTGTAAAGCTCATCTGTTTCTATGGCTGATGGTCATGTGGCCAGCACTACAACCAACTGCTTTTACTTCCCCAATGTATGTTAGGTATCCATTACAGTTGAGTGAACTCAGGGGCGTTTTAAAAATTCAGAAATTCAAAATCCCCGTCTTCAATTTGGTTTGAATTTTGAGACCGCACTTTAAAAAACATGTAATGCAATAACAAATGAAACAGTCTGTTGGAAGCTTTGTTATAAACAGACCCAAATAAAAATGTATGTTTTAGAGTAAGACATCTAGATGTGTATACAGAATAAGACCCAAAGACCTTTAAGATTTTAACTGTGAATAGACCTTGTTTTTAATGATTTAACTGTATAGAATTTAGCCCTTGTTATGTAAAGGGAGAGTGATCCTTAAAGGATTACAGGCACGACATGGCCTAAATTGTGCTGATGTGCCAAAACTCAAACCCAAACTCACTAAACAATAATGTTTAAGTCAATCAAAGCTGTGAATTGTAATGCAATCACTGAATGTTTATTTTGATTTATTTTTTTTATACATTCTATATTTTGTTGGAAACAAATGTCAACACCCTTTAAACATTATTTAAAATATGAATATGATATGGCTTCTAAAACTTATTTTATTGTTTATTAAAGTTAAATAAGAAAACTGATCACATTTTTTTCTGTATTAGCAAAATGTTTCTCTGAAACTTTTTAACAACAGTCCATAGTGAATACACTCATGACTCGTTTCAGCATCAATGTAACATTTTTTATTCTTTTGTTTTTGTTAACCTTTCAGATCATCAATTGTGTCTAGTGGTGAAGCAAATGAGGATGATGATAATCTTTATTTAGACCCTTCAAATCTAGTGAGTTATGTTACATGAAATCTTTTGGTCAGGGGTCATCTAGCTGACCCATCAATTTAATTAGCCCATTTCCTGATTAAAACTAAATTTATGTTAAGATTACTCTACATGACAAATGTAAACATTT